TCAATTATTTCATTTTGCGTATAACTACTAATATAGGTTGCAAGGGAGATGAAGTGTTTTCTAAATGTTTTTTTAATACAACATCGCCACTCTTCATTTTAAATTTAATTAATTCACGAAAGTTACCTTCCTTATTTACAAGACTATCCTCATCTTCGGAAGAATCTTCAGAAACGACAAGAGACCCTCGATCTCTATGTCCTCTAAATGGAATATTTTGTCGTCCCAAAAAGATTACTTACTCGATAATGGGTTTCAATCTAAGTTTATTTTCTAAAATCTGCCTTTGTCTTTCTTGATCTAATGTATTTCTTACATCTATCTCTGAGTTTTCATAAATTTTTATTAAATTATGTCCCTCTGTAACAGCTTTACTATGATAGACTGATTTATCATGCATTATCAAATTGCCATCTTTTCCGAATAGTTTGGAATACTTATTTAGTGGAGTGGTAACAAGACGTCCCAACTTGGTTGACTGACGAACACCACATACTTTTAAAAAAATAACGCAAAATTTACAAAATATACCCTCTTCATCTTGGGAATATGTTAGCCAAGAAAAAGTGTCAAAATGTCGTTTTGATAAAAAGCATTTAATATCTTTATCATTTTTTCTGTGAAAACGGGTACGTAAAATTTTGACCCGGAACCATAGAGTACATTAAAACCGAATATTTTTCCCGCAATGTAATTATTTTAGATGTATTGACAAAAGGGGCAACGTAAATCGATTTTTTATAACCATGTAAAATATTAAATGTGACAACGCTGTGGTCACTGCTGCTACTGGCGCTAGTTTCGGCGATTTGTTTACCCATACTCGAAGAACTCGAACCCGCTTCCTCTGAGGATTCCCTGACTGGTCATAAATTCACTACTTCCGAGGGTATAATTCCTTTATTTTATTTTGGTTTTAACAAATAATTATCTAAGGTATTCTGTTTTCTCTTACTCATTGCTAATTTCTGTTGTGTTTAGTATCTTCAAGTGCAAGAACAAAAATAATTTGCAACAATGGTAAATTTTAGATATTATAATCACATAAACTTAAATCTAAATTACTAAACTTAATAAAAATACCTGTTAAGTAAAACCCTTACATGAACACAGTGTATCACTTTAGTATCACTATCACTTTGGTTATCCAGTATCCAGTACTTCCAGTAGAAATCAAAATAAAAACAAAATTATATAAGCAGTATTAGTCGAAGAAAGAGTGAGTTTCTGAGATACAAGCACGTACAACGAATGGGAACCTAAGTTAGGCGCTTTGAGTGGCGGACTGCCGACGAAACTAAAAAAGCGCTTCTGCCAGATTGAACAAAAAATACTGCAATTGGTCTTTCAATAGTTTGTGCAATACATTTTTAGTATCTACAAAAAGTTAGGTTTAAACATTCTTGGGGGGAGGAAGGTAATTACCCCCATTACCCCCATATATGCGCCCCTGGTAGGCAGTAAATAACTTTCCGCTCGAATTACACACGAGTTTTTTTACGATCACACAATAAAACCAAATTCAAATTTTATTTCAACGTTCATTTGATAGCCATCGTTAGCAAAGCGTGTGTTATGTGATGTCGTGTTGCCTACTTACGTGAAGATTAAATATTTCAATTATCGTTTAAATATTAAGGGAAATGGATTTAATATTAGATGGTTAACTAAAATATAAGATTAGTCTATATTTTGTTTTAAAATAGCGATCACTTTAATTACTACTACTTTTGTTTTATTTACTGCGCGTTAGAGTGCCAATAATGTCAACTTATGACAAATCGCGGAAAAAGCCAACTTTTCCATTATTAGATTTGAATGTGTAAAAGGATAATCTAGATAGTTATCGTAGACAAATATTCTTTTTTCCAACCGTCAAAAAATATTGACAATTTTGTATTATTTTCAGATGCAAAATCTAGCAATTCTTTTACTGTACAAAAATGTGCTAGTGCCCTTTTAATTCTAGTGTTAGAGTCAGCAAATTAAAAGACCGCCGCCACTGGGGTTGATGGTACCGTAGCGTGCTCCATCAGCATCTGAAAGGCGAGAGATAACACTTGAATTTAGATCAGCCCGTTAACTCCAAGTTTAACGCGTTGTCAATGACAAGTGACGGCGACTTTTTTATCACAAAAAATACAGCTCTGAACGATAATATTTTCAAAAATTGTTTATAAGGGGTTCTGAGTACTGTAAAGAATGTTGGAAAGTCTATAGTTTGTTTTACTTTTAATGCATAATATTTTAATAAGTGATATTTAACAAATATTTAAAAGTTATTGACCTTCCCCGATTTCTTATAGTATTTAAATGCTGAAACGCAAAATACATTCTTTTATTTTTGCCTAATTATTTCTTGAAACTTGTGTTAAGATTTAAAAATGTACTGTCCATAAGATGCTGCCATCTAAACAGACGAAAAATATACTAAAAGTGAAAAATTGCAACATCGCTCTCTATGCAGACGAATGTAAAACCGGCTTAGCCCAAAAAATGGTATGAGATTAAGCAGATTTAATGCTACGTCACATTGTAGTGCGAAGACTTGGCTTGTACGAATTCAAGGTATCAGTTGATCGAAAACAGTGCGAAAAAATAAATTTAAATCTACATAGCCATCATAGATACCCATATTCAGAACCACGATAGGTCATGAGTGAACTCGACGAGATTTAATCGGCTAAGTATAATACCTCTGTAATGTTTTGTATCATTAGGAATATCAACATTGTAAACAATTATGACTAGGGTTTTCTTACTTTTTCCCTAGGTGAGGGAGAATAAATGAAAACTACATTATTTATAGTAATAAAGATTGAAAATATACGAATTTAAATGGTAATGTTCTTAAAATAGGAGTAAAAGTTTATATAAACATAGGTCCGAAAACATTTTGTTTCCGAGATACAGGGTGCTAAAAGTGAAGTTTTTTTGTAAATATTTTCTAAACTTTTAAAGATAACTAATTGAAATTTGGTGCAAATGCCATATTTTTAACGGTCTATTTAATGGACTGAACGCCATAAGGTGATCATCTTCATAGGTGGATAAATTAGGGGAGGGGTTCAGCGTAAAATGTCCTAATTTTTTTTTTTGTTAACTGTTTTTAACATTTTTTACTACAAAATTTGGAAAACCAATATTTTCTTTATAATAAAGCTTCTTTTACTGTATCTTGCTAGGACGCACCATTTTCAAGAGAAAAGCATTTAAAAATTTCATGATTAGTTGATGTTATCTTATTCGAAAGTATAAACAATAATTTCTAGGCCTGCGGAATCAGAAATTTTATTTTTTTTTAACTTTGGAAAACCGGTGACTAAAGAAATTTTAGAAAATATTTACAAAAATGTGTTATCAGGACTTCACTTGTAACACCCTGTATGTTTATATGAACTTTTACTTCTATTTTAGTATGTAGATTACGCTGTTAAAATATGACTCAATTTTGGTACACCCTGTATATACTTATAAGAGTTTTTATGTCAGTCATAGTTTTATATCAAAAATGAAAACAAACTGAAATGATACATTAACAATACATTCATAAATTTACAATATTTATAACATTCATAGACTCTCTCCTGGCTAAAATATTACTTATATATCCGTCTATTTTTTGACTTTAGCCTCCTTTTGACACTTAAATTCGTTCTTATTCAGTGTAGTATGCATGGTTTTCAGAAAATCAACTGTTATACCTATTTTATGCTGGGTCCTGCAAAGTTCATCTTCAGTACACCTGCTTATCTGCTATCTATCTCGATGTCAATCTTGATTGAACATGCGCTTCTTGTCAATAACTCTTATACTTAACCAGAAGTCGCTTAGCCTCTGCCGCAAATGTCTAATTCGGCCAAAACACAGCCTTGGTACACAAATATCTATTTTACCGCTGGTTTCATTACAATGATCGATGGTTTAATACAAAAAACTCGAGTAAAGTGTAAAATTATATATTGTCCAGTACACTCGTATACACTTGAGTATTAACCTATATTATTTTTGATTGAAGATGTATACATTTAAAAATGTCGATTACTTCAAAATAAAATTATTTTATTTTGATATTTTATTTAACTTAAAACATTTTAATTAGTATTGTCCATTTATATGACTTATACCGGACTGTTTGTACTCTAGTAGCTGACAGTTTTGCTGTCTATTGTCCCCAATTCATTCATTAGTGACATACGTTTTATTAAATTCATCGTGTTACATATCCTAAAGAGATAGAAATTTAAATTGACGTCTTGTATTACTTCGAATGAAAAATCGATAAAAAAAATTGTGATTATATCGCAAAGAAAATTGAGTTGGGTCTTAAAAAAATTTAACTAGAATCACTAGAATCACTTTTTTCCTAATCATAGACTCCACGCAATAAAAAAAATGTCTGAAGGACGTATAGTCGGAGACTTTGTAATCTTGAGATTTTTCAGAAAATATCGTAATAATATTGATTTGTTATCAATCACTGGAATATTTTTTTAAATTATCTACTGATATTGAAAAACAAAAAGTAGACTAGGTTGTAAATTATTATCTATATTATCAGATCAACCTTTAAACAATTACCTACAATCTTAATATAGACAGGTACTTAAAATATTGAATTAAAATTTGTGATGTAGACACCGTCGGATATTGCGTAAGTGTGTAAATAAGATATCTATTATGGTATTTAAATAGAGATATTTTGTATAAATAAGTATTTTTGTAATACAGTTTTTTATTAATTATTTCTACCATACAATAATATTTTAGGCCTTATACATTACTCAACTTATATTGGAGCTCTTAAGTTAGCTGTTAAAACATAATGAAATTATTACTGATTTAAAAAAACATATAGTTTAAATAAATATAATAATTTATTAGATTAATCAGAAAATATATATGTACATAGTTATATCTATAAAAAAGAAATATTTCTAGTTTTTAGGCAAGTGTTCACCAGTTGCCCTGTAACCATTTTCATCAGCTACATAAGTTACTTTATAAACCACGCCATCAGTACCAACATACGAATACGATCCTTGAACTACTAATGCTTCATTTGTATTGCCGGCTTCCTTTTTTATTACTGCTTCTTCGTGCCTGTTCGAGCCATCACTTGTTTCATAACTGCAAATAAACAGTATCTTTTTTAACTATGAGAACCAAGATATAAGTATTTATTTTGCAGAGTGTTTCATTAAAAATTGACCACAGACTATTTGAAAAATCCTTAGCCCCAAATAGGATAAGTAGACTGTACTAGTGAAATGTAATTGAAATAAATACGTAAGTGTGTAAAAATTAAAATATTTCTTATTAAAATTAGGCTAAGCGCGTTCGGCTTACAAAGTCATCATCAAACCTTCCTAAAAGGCGTTACAAATAAACAATTTAAATATAATTAGATGCCTAAGACACCTTTTACATGAAATCATTTGAAAAATACATTAAGTTGTTAAAACAACGAATACAATATTGACAGTTAGGGCCAGTAGAGGCACCGAACATACTTAAAACCCTCTAAGAGGTATAACATTAATCTTTATATTATAAATATTTGAATATTTTAAACATGGTCTACAACGATTCAACAGGCGACAAGCTTACCTATTTTGACATTTGACAGTAGACGTAAGACATAGATAGACTGACACAGGACAATGACAAGTAGATTAAGCTTTCGAGAGTGGTTCTGGAGTCAACCGGGTTAAACTAAACTTATTATCAATTAACCAAAAATATATAATAATGTAAGAAGTCGAGTAGGTATATCCTGGGTTTCTTAGGATATGAACCATACAGAGATCTTATACTTAGAACTTGATTAGTGTAGCGGACTGACAAATACAAAAAACTAATTAAATTTGACATTGAATAAAATAATAAACAAATGACTAGAATCATGTAGCCCACTATGGGCCAGGCAGGAAATTATTCATTCCTTCGTATATTAGAAAATTAATTTAAAAAGATAATAAAAGAAAATGTCCTTCAAAGATTACAAAGCAAGAAAGGACTGGAAAACACGCGCAGAGGGAGGATGTAAATGCGTATTAGATAAATAAATAAATAAAAAGAACGACTGACTATTTTTAAGGTAAGGCATATGGATTTTAAGGTGCCCCCATATGCCTCCTCTGGATACGACCCTGTTCGTACATGACATCTAGTCGAAGAACAAAAAGTAAATTAGAAAGGAATAAGGAAAGAAACAGTTTAGAAAAAGTGATAAAGTTATAGTAAAGACATATTACTACCTAGATCCATACTAGGCAGCAACAAAGTAAAGTAAAGACATTTTTCTATGACTATTTAACAATATACGTATTACACATCCACTTTCTATTGACTAATATAAGTAGTTACTCATACGGTGAATTTTTTTATCATTACTCAATTATTTATTTCATTACTTAATTATTTTCAACCAATTAAAAAATTAAATGTCATTACTTAACTATTTAAGAACCAATCAGAAAATTCGACATGAAACCTGTCTGGCAACACTGTATAGTATTCTACTCGCGGACTAATCCTTAAGAGGATGAAGTTTGCACTACGAGCAGCAGGCGAGTAGTATAATCAATTGACATCATCATTACCCGCTCGTTGAATAATATACTATTATTTTTGCCTATTACGACCCAACTGAAATATAAATATATTTCATATCCATTTTACCTAGTAAAAACACTGAAAAAAAAAAAATAAATCCACCAATCACAGTTCATATTTTGATCATCCGGCTACTATTATTTTTTAAATTTTATGTAAGTGACAATTCTGTCAAACTAATTGTCAGTATATTTTTTAGTTATTGAGATTAAATATACGTAAAAATGAGTAAGCTTAGCCTGGGTGCCAGGCCACAGTGGACAAAAGGGTAACGAAGAGGCTGATTACTAGCAAGAAAAGTAGCCTCAAAGGCTCTTATTGGCCCAAAACTCTTCTGTTGTATCACAAACACAGGTCATTCACAAGGCAGTGAATGTTTAAAAATATTAGGAATGGAAAAAAATTTACCAGGACAAAGAAGGTCAAGGAGTTCTTAAAAACGACATAGCCCAAACTCACCGAGCATCACAAAGCCATAATAGGATAAATACTAGAGTACTAGTAGGTCTATTACCAGGACATTGTAGGCTTCACAAACATATGTATAATATTGGGCTGACAAAAAGACCTTATATTGATTGTCAGGAAAATTTTATCAACGCTGAGATTCCTGACACAGAAAATACAAGGGTAACTAGCTACGAAGAACAACTACTTTCTAGACTATGGAGTCTACTAGTAAAAATCCGAATTAAACAAGGTACTCTAAATTACGATTAAAGAATATCCACAATAGATCTGAAGAGGTCGAGGTGCGAAAGGTCACATGTCTCACAGTCCTAATTAAATTTAATCTAATCCAAAGCCAATACATACATTAAAGATATCAGAAAATTGAAATAAACATAAGCTATAACAGGACATGACAATTTTTGCTCATAAAAATAGTATAAAATGAGAAGTGCAGATACTGTAATGATATCGATACCTCAGATCACCTTATTTTTGTATGGCAAATAGTAGAGGCAAATACTAAATGTGGAATAGAAATTGCAAAAGAAGACTTTGCAGAGTTACTAATAAAGGATTAAAAAACCTTACAGCAATAAATGACATGATAAAAGACATCTTAACCCTTGTACTACCAAGCTTTTTGTTAAACAAGCGGGGTAAATTTGGACCTTTTCGTTTTTTCTTGATTTTATTGGGGTTTTCTAGGCTTCACCTAGTAGCTTTTTCAAGAAAAATAAAAAAATACTCTCAATACCATCCAATTAGACGAAATAGATATAGAATGAAAACAAGTCAAATATTTAAATCTAATCCTGGACAACAAACTTCTCTAGAACATACAAGAGAAGAAAGTAGTAAATATGGGCATAAAAGCCCTAATGGTATGCAAAAAAATTGTGGGTAAAAGATGAGGATGTAACTTAAACACACTGCAATGGATGTTAACGGCAACAGTGAGACCAATCATCTCTTACGGGGCTATGTCCTGGAGTAACAGAACTAGTTTAGCTACTACGAGAGCTAATATCTCAACAGTACAAAGTCTAGCCTGTGTTTGGTAATACCGGTGCAATGGTAATCTATTCTATGCCCGCAATGGAGGTGATCTTAAATAAATCCTTTTACATTTAATGATAGAAAAAGTGGTGAAAAAGACAAAATATAGAATGATCAGGAACAGAGTAATCACACGAGTCTATTAACTTTAGGACCGAAGATTGTTGGGTTTAGGCTCAGGACGAAATATTAATAAAGTACTCTTTTGTAAAAAACTTTAAAACCACAGAGCTGGGCTGGAAGAAGGAATAGAGCCAGGAATACATCGTGCTTGCCACCGAAAGATATGCTATTCAGTAGTGTACAGATGGTTCCAAAACAATAAAAGGAACTAGAATGGGAGTATATAGGGCTAGAACCAGAAACTCTGAAAGTTTGGGAAAATATCCAAGCATCTTCCAAGTGAAAATTTACGCCATTGAGAAGCGTATCCAGTTTAACATCGAGAGAAACTGTTGTAGACAAGAGATTATCATCATGTTCGATAGCCAAACAGCCATCAAAGCGTTTAAGCCTTGAAGAACTGAGCTGTTCTGAGGTTCAAGAAGTAATACAATATTAGGAGAGATTAAACAAGAATTAGGCAGTAAAAGAACCGATCATTGGAACAATCTCTTGAGGCTAAGACAGGCTAAGATACTTCTGGTAAGATCGGAAACCTGTATCTGTCTGAGCAAGAAGAGGCTACGCATTGTAACAGGGATCCTTAGCATTACCCACTCAAAGGACACCTTAGTAATCTGATGCATCACAAGACTTTTAGATTGGTAGGCAAATCACAACTAAATATTAAAGATAAAATTGATGTAAGTATAAGGAAATTGAAAAAATATTTCATAAGAAAGTCAAAACCATTTTTTTCTGGTGAAATAAAACAAATAAATGATACATTATTTAGTTTTAGACTTATTACATGAAAAAGTAAACTTAAGTTGTCAAATTAAAGTAGGTATTGCATCTTGGTTGTAGAAAAAATAGTATAATCAATTCTCATAATAATAACCATTACTATTAATACATGATTGTTCTATAATATACTTTTTAACTAAATAATTTATATGGTGCTTGTTGTTTTTAATATGCTGAATCTGAAAACAGGGTGTTCCACTAAAAAGTAACACATTTTAACAGCTTATAACTCGAGGATAGTATAGAAGATATTGACATGCAGTTTTCACTAAACTTTTTACATTTGCTTTAAGTTTTGGTTGACATAATTATTAAATATATATTTCTATCCTAAACTACCGAAAAAAAAATATTTTTTTAAACCAAATTATCATACCATAATCGGTTTATTTTAAATAGAACACCCTATATTTTTCATGCCACCTAAAATTCATTTTTTCCCCTTTTCAAAAATGTATACATTGTGATTATTTATTTAAGGTTTGGAGGAGATATTTTTTTATGAATCTACATCAAAAACATGTAATTGTAAAATTGTTGAAATTTTCTGGTAAAGTGTATTAATGTTTATAGGTGTGTTTTCTAATTTATTTAAAATAAAAAATTATCTGGTTTATTTAAAATAAAAAATTATCTGATACACTTATAATGTGATCTTTTTCTAAAGTCGCCTGGCATATTAGATACCATTTTATCAAGATGGCTTTAAAAAATATATAACTAAGATTAAGAAACGTCAAATAATTTTTGTGAAGTAGATCAAAACGAACACACTCAAATTTATTAATCGACAATGTACAACAGGCAACTTTTTTCGACAATTTCGGGAAACAATATAAATTTTGCAACTATGTTATATGTTAACAAAATGTTGAAGCAAATGTAAGAAGTTTAGCGGAAACTACACATCGATATCTTTCTCAATACTTGAGTTTTATTGTCTTAAAATGTGTTACTTCACAGTGGGACACCCTGTAGGTATCATAATAGATATGCTCAAAGTTTTACCCAATATTTAAACAAAAGAGTTTGAACAAGAAGATGTAAAGTAAATACAAGCCATTTTCATGTTTATCCGTATATTAATGGAGAGA